CAAGATTGTGCAAGAAGAGCTGGGATCTGACCTGTGTGCCATGCCACCGAATGCGACGTCTGTGTACCAGCCCTTGGACGTGGGTGTCATGGCGCCCTTCAAGCGTCACCTACGTGAGTTGTGGCTGTATGAGGAGATGATTGACAGTGACGACGAGGATCCCGACTCACTGACTGCAAAGCAGAAGCGCCTAGCCATGATCAAGCGTGCGATTGCGGCGTGGGATTTGGTGACGCCCGAAATCGTCCGCAGCAGCTTCGAGAAAGCGCTGGCTTTTGGGCCAACGACTGGAGAATAAGGGATTAAAAAAATGCAGGACAATGTTTTTCATTATTATATATGTTTTGTATGATTTTTTTTATTTGTGCTTGAATTTTTTTATATCTTGAGAAAAAGTTTGACACTGCCCGGGAATTGAACCCGGGCCCCCTCCTCTATCCTTTGATGCCGTCACGCTTAACCATTGCGCCACCGCGTCAAACGCTTACGCTTACACTCGAAGCATTGTATCAATCAAGTCGACTTTTTTCATTGTAACGCAAGAACTAATATCCTTCAGAAAACTTGGCCTGTGGCATTCGACTTGCTTGTAGATTAGTGGCTCCTTGATTGTCTAATAAAATGACCTCCAAAATATAAATCCGGACTCAACTCGAGCCAATAAAAATGGGCATCACGTCTCCGATTGGCAGGAAAGGCGGGCGTACTTCGAAGTAAGGCAGCCAACCACCATCAAGTATTTGCATTCCACCCGAAGAAAAAGTAGGCCTTAAGTTCCATAGATCCCTGTAACTGGTTGTTTGTGTTTTGTGGCTTAATCCTATTGGTTCTTTGTTTCAAACTTTTGACCTTCGCTCTCAAAACGCGCATGATAGTCACAAATGTCCAAAAGCACCCGAGTCATCCGGATGAGGATAACTTCCAGGTGCTTTGGTTTTAGTGACACAATACACTTAAAACTATTTTTAAATTCGACCGGGCCCGATTCAGAAATAGTTCAGGCTTAGCGCTGCTTATATGAGACATGATGGCAGTCCTCGTCCTCTATATCGACAATGCTCATGGAAGAAGTTTGGGCCAATTGGCCCGACCACTTGCTTGTTCAGAAGAGGCTATACAAAGATCATCAGTCTGATTTAGGACAAATTTTAATAAATCCTCGTAATAAAAATGATTTTGTGGCAAAACTCGAGGTGAAACGTGAAGGTAAATTGGGACAGAGTAGTACGTCCACGGTAGGAAGCGGTGCCGAACAGAACCTCTCGCATATCGCGTGTACACAGCGCCCACATCTATTACCGTCCAACCACCTGGTTTGTGTGAGTCATCGATTATGCAAATATCTACAGATTTCCCGCAATACCAAAGTGAAGCTTGTACGCTCCATCTCTTGCAAAGACAAACTGTCGCTTTGACGGTCTCTTGCTCATGCAATGTTCCATATGTTCTGGCGGGACGTCACGACTAACCCAGCGTACGTACTTTCGACGCTGTCGCTGGTAATTGTGCCCTCGATAATGTCGAGGACGATCAATTTGTGGCAGCCAGAATTACTGACGGACCACGAATGTACGGAGGCATCATGCTGTAACTTGTTTTAAGTATCCATTGGTAATACAGTATGTAGTGTTCTGGTAGTTTGAGTGATCTGTTTCCGACTATAGTGTTATTCAGATTGTGAAAGTCACCCAAGAATATTTGAAGTCATCCAGGCAAAATTGAATTCATCCATACCGTACGTTTGGGCGAAACAAACAGATTCTTTTGAACAAGTAGTCGGATTTTGCTACTGTTCTTTTATTCTCTTCGACTTGAACCGATCAAACCCTTCCTCGAAATTCAAAGGCTGAAATTCAATTGTCTTTCGTTTATTCATATTTAAGAACTCCCATTTTATGAATATAACTACGCTAGAAACAAAAATAATGATGAGTATTTTTTTGTGTCGAAGCCCAGATTTAAACAAAGTATTAATTATAATTTGTCAGTAATATGCGAGGTACTAAAATGACATGTACTATCAAGAGTACTACTTTGATGTTCATACTTTCCGGTTACACCACTTTCGCACCGAGTAGTAATCATAATCACTACCAGTACTTGCCTATATTATCCACTCCACATCAACATCACACCTAGAACAAACCGTCTTGAACTGAGTATATGTCATTTCAGACATCATTTAACTTAAGTATTGTATGTCCTTTTTTGGCTGAACATAATATGACTCGAATATTGAACGGATATTTTATGTTGTCCTCACCATACATGTCTATTTTCAATCGATAATATGAAGGAAAGCAGTAATTTATTTCAAGTGAAAAAAGTGGTTTAGGCTCAACTTCTCGGTCACCCGCTGTTGATATCGACCGATTTACTAAAGTATCATTGGTTGTATTTTTTAGTCATAAGTTTGCAGAATTATATGAACCTTGTTGGTACCCCAGATTACGTTCAGTTGTAGTGTCGTACCAACAATTCAGATGTAATGCAATTCCCTTTTTAAGTACCTTGATGCGCATCCACCTCTCTCGAGACTCTACCTCAACACATGAGGTGACAGGTGACGTATGTTCTGTGATTTTCAGCAAAATTTATGTGGCAGGAATGTGAACTCTAATACAATGTGTGGTGGGTCAATTAATTCACCAAAATATTAGAAAATAGAGTACGAACCTCCTTCAAATAACGCAGCCCCACGAACCGTCCGCAACCCCGCTGGCGTTGCTTCGACAACATGCCACAATCAACCACCACTAATACGCCTATTGAAAAAGAGGAGGAAATTCAATGCGATACATAGAATTACTCGTTCGACGTGCAGTACACAACTCACCAGCCACCCGACGCCATTACGAGTAATTATCGATTCATACCGTTGATTTCGTGCTATCTCAAGAAGATACTCTGGGTCTTGCTTGTAGCGACCAACCATTTCAAGTGTCATGTGGCGTGATGCGTGTTGCATGCCTACATCCGATGCGCTGCGCCAAGCGCCTAAAAGCCACCCAGTCTTACGCAGCTAGTGCGTTGTAAATGGACCTTGACGCCCAGTAGTCTTCAAACAGATCTCGCGGGACTTGACTTGAAACTTCGCCGCCAGATAGCACTTGGTTGAATATTCGTTGTGCGAGAGCAGCCTGCTCTCGCCTAAATGCTGAAACAACTTGAGCCAGGCTTATAGAGTTCAGACAAGACAGTGCTGAGGACTCTGGCCGTCGCTACACATAGTGAGCACGATCGGTTTGTTCATTCTAATAGTAAAGGCAAACATGGTGACTGCGCCAAATCCATCTACCGACGTTAACCTTGGCAGGAACTGGCTGCAGTTGAATCCGACACCTTTCGTCCGCATGCAGAAAGAGGCTTATGTGGAATAGAATCATGGTCCCCAGTTTCTAGCCAATGAGATAATTAGTCGCCAAAAGTACGTACGAATGTTCACCAGCTCCAGAACCTTTGGTTTTGAAGATGTCCTGGCAGCTCGAGCACGATTCCTCGTCGGCCACTTGGTCCATACCCTTTGCCTTGTGCGCGGCGGCACTAAACTGGACCATGTTTTTTGATGTTTCCACTGGTCATCACACAACACTTGTCCATCATCGACGTTCAGAACTGGGGAAGTGTCATCGAAGTAGAGTAGCGACCCCACAAGGCCAGTTTTGAACTTCAAGTAAGAGAATAAGCTCTTCACAGACATTGCTGGGACATACTGTGGGGAGTCTAACCAGAGGATTAAGAGGGACATGTTGTCCCGAATACGTCCAAAGTAGCATCGTAGTCCTTTGTAGTGCTTGTCATACCCTCGTTCTGAGTGCGGCTCGAGGAACCGACTTCCGTAAACACGCTGCTGGTTTGGAGCTAGTAACAAGTCATGTTCATTGAATGCTGACAACATTCCGGCTTCTGCACTTGTCAATTGCGCGGTCGAAAGTACATGGAAGGAAACAGATGGCAGGGGACGCGGCAGTCTCGTCGCAAGCTTGAGAGCAATGTCGTCGAACGATGGTGTGTCTTTTATCGGGGAAAACCTCAAGTGACCTCGTGACCAATAACAGCTACATCCAATAAGAAAACGCGATCATAACGCAAGCCAATAAAATCAAGTTATAAATTTTGTCCAATGAACATCTAGGGGGCAAATAATGGCCTATCCATGACGCAAGAAATACCCAATTACATTTCATTCGCTAAAAGCCCAGATATTGCTTAGCTGATCCATCGGGGGCGCCATGCCCACTCTAGGTGCCCTCCTGCAGTCAATACGACACCAATCGCAGCACTTCTTTAGCCAAGACATATCTATACACTCTAAGCAATAGCATAGACTCGGTCTAAGTACTCTGTTACCGAAGCCCAACACACAATTCCCCCCAGAACCCTGCACAACCACTCGACATGTTCCGGACTGAAATTGACTAAGTTATACAAATGAGACTTGTACTTGAGCATCCACATAAGCGCGTAGATATGCTCAAGCAATCCAAAAACCGCCTAGTCTACGCCCAGGTATGGCCAAATATATTATCTGTGATGTACGTCGCTTAATTGTCCCAAAAATACCAAAATTTACTGGTCTTGTTTTATTTTCGCGCCGTAGACGGCAAAAACAGATTGTACTGACCTCGCAATGGATCCTCCTGCAAGGGCATCGCATAGCGAAAGTAGCGGTAATGATCGCCATAGTACTGCGTGGGTAAGTCGCTGCAGCGCAGAAGAAGGAAGTCGGCAATTAAGGCTTCCGCAATGGCCAACAGCTAAGGGTTTACACGCGTGCTTTTTGAGTTTTTTGCTCGTGTTCAGGAAAGTGGGGGAATTACGCTTGCCTTTTCAAATAACCACTCTAAGGAACCGGGGAAATTGCGCGTGTAAATATGTTGAGATGCCTAAGCTATTATATCGAACAAGTATGACAGCTAATACGAACATGCTAATCGACATCTTCGCGTCACTGACCATCGCGCCGTCATCTAATCAAAATCTCGGCCAATACAGGACCAATTTCAATCAATTTTCAACTGGTCCCATCCACGCAATAGGCTTCACTTCCCTCGGACGTGCTACACGACACGAGTCGCTCATCACAACAGGCATGACCTGCTCTATCTCGGCTACAATTGGTCCAATTTCACTCATTCTTCAACAGGTCCCACCATGGAGAGATGAGGTCAGTTGTGGAACCTGTCCCGTCCAGTCAGACATGAGCTTACCTCCCCACAGGCGGCTATTACTACAGACATGACCAGCTCTATCTCGGTCAATACTGGTCCAATTTCACTCATCTCCTATTGTGCACATGCAGTACGTGTTACGCACCACATATGTCTTAATAATTTTCATGCATTTTCTTCAGAATTCATCAATGCATCGTGGAAATGTGAATTCAAACCAATTTTGATATCTTACATAAAGTTGATGTAGGTTTTCACAGATGGGGAATAAAATAGAACATTGGTTTGATACCTTGTTCGGAATTAGAAGGTACATGGATCAATTCCTCGCAAGTTCCCTACTCTTCCTGCGCATATTACAGAGATATGATAAATCAACCTAATGACATGGACCAATCAAATATCCACATAATCCTTGGTCAGCAGTCGCCATCTTTTCATTTCCAGGATGCTACGTTCAAGGTCGCGCCAGTCTACACGTGCGTCTTGTGCAACAACAAAGTTTTACTCACGCCCAACCAGATAACCAATCACTTCGCGAAGCACCATGCCGACGCACCACTGCACAAAGCGGCAGGAATTGATGGACGCGCGAGACGACGAAGAGTCCGAATGGTAAGCTATCTTCTCTGTATATTGACTGAAGCCCATGATGATAGGTGCATATCGACCATCAATGGGAAGCGCTACCAAACTGAGAGATGAGGTTCAAGCTTATTCGCATGCCCCCATGGCGCCAATCTATATGTATAGCACTGCGGGAGGAAGCGTGTGTAGTTGAGGGCAAAATGCACAATGAATTAACTGAAGATCTACAAAGATCTCCTTAATCCTCATCACTATGAAATCTTCTTAGTCTACTTCACTACTTCTACACTAATATGCATTTTTGTATACAATGGATGCGGGTGCGGTTGAGACATTGGGGAACTTCACTAGGCTAGCGATTCTAAGCCATACTTGCCCTTGAGACACATTCCCAGGCAAGCATTAGCTAGGGTGCGTCATGAGCCAGGTACTTAGGAGCTGGGTGCGGGCAAGGTGGTGGCAAGCCGTTAACCCACCTGTCACATCGCTACATTCTCCCCCTGACGTCTTGCTACACCTTGAAACGCCTTGACTCCAAGTCTTGGACGAGTTGCTTGAAGTGCACAACATGCTTGATGTCTTTCATCAGTTCCCACGTGGCTTCGCTTTCGGGCTGTCCATGCCACTTGACCAAGTACTCCAACTTGCGATTGAACTGGCGCTTCTTGAGCAGTTTCTCGACAATGTACATTTCTTCGCCGGTGGATTCGTCTAGAATAACAGGAGTTGCTTTCGGGATAGACCGGGAGGCAAACTTGGCTTCGTTGGTGTGATAGTGCTTAAGTCGATCGACGTTGAACACGTCATGCACACGAGACATCGAGCGAGGCAACTTTAGGCGCATGGCGTTGTCATTAATGGCTTGGACAATCTCAAAGGGACCGATGAATCGTGGAACCAACTTGGGACGCTCGGACTTGTCGAGCATCTGGGCATGCTTTAAAGGCAGGTTGCGAGTCGCTAGCAGTACTTGATCGCCTTCCTTGAAGGTCACGTTCGAGTGGCGCTTGTCATAATACGCTTTCTGACGCTGCTGGGCCTTCATCAAATTCTCGTGCGCCATCCGAATGACTTCTTTGCGATGTTCTGCAAAATTCTTGGCAAAGTCATTTTTGGGCAAGGAGCTGCTCACGGCAGGGTTGCGCAACTTGCGGCCTGTGTCGACTTCGAACGGTGTTAAGCCGGTTGATGTTTGTACTAAGCCTTGGTGGGCAAATTCG